TGCGGGGCCCGCCTGCTGCGGCTGAGCGACGGCAGCTGCGGGCACGCGGGGCTACAACCCCAGACCCCAGGCCTCTTCTAGGTGCGGGAGGCTCGGACCCGGGACCACTTCCTCTGTCCTCCGGACGCGAGATCGGTACCCCTCAGCTCTTCCTCTCGGCGGTGAGCTCTCCTGGATCTCAGCTCCGGGTGCACAGCCTCCTGAGCCTTCCCGCCCGCAGATCCCACCCCCTGCACCGCCCTCCCGGGCGGCCCAGGCTGGGAGGAGCGCGGAGTCAGGGCGCTCGGGTTACAAAGTTTCAGCTCCGGTGGTTGCTAACCGAATTAAAGGGGAGGCGGGGCCAGCACTCCAGTGAAACTTGCAGGAGGGGCGGGGCCGCCCTAAGCAGCCGACTCCGGTTACTTTCCCTCTTCCAGCCTTTCGCGCACGCTCGGCGAGCATCCCGGGCCCCACTTTCCTTTTCAAGGGGCGGGTTGTAGGCCGGGTGTGCGTCCTGGAGAGCCGTGGCTCGTGTGAGGTCCCACTGGAAGAAGAACAGTCTGTCTCGGCATGAGTAACAATTCACTTAAAAAAAAAAAAAAAAAAGAAGACTGCACTTTCAGTTCATTCGAAACGCTTTGTATGGCAAGTTGCTCTGCCATTAAGCTGTCCACATGTTCATTTTCTTAAAGTGGAATGATTTTATTTTGTGTGTATTTTGGATGAAATAGTGAAAATGTAACTCGTTTCTCTTGCGAGGCTATTGCAATGATCCTTTCCACTTCGCAACTAAATCAATCCTAATAGTTTGGCCTCTGTGAGCGTTGTTTTGCCATATTATAATATTCATATGAAATAAAGAGAATTCATATTTGCAAAGTGAGCTAATGCGTTGCTGGATTAGTCATTAACCAAAAGGAGGAAAGTTGTTAGACAGCCAAAAAAAAAAAAGCGGGTGCACAATTTCAGCGACTGACCGGCCAGACTGTTCCATATTCATGGCTCGTACACGTGTATGGGTCAGAGTTAACCCTGACTGAGGAAAGTCCCAAATCAAACATCCACCTCTTACCCCCTTCAAGCTCCCCCTCCATCCCTCCCCAGCCTCAGTGAACTCCACCTGAAACTCAGAGAATCTTTTGGCACTTCATTCTTACTTTCAATTATAGTTACTTATTTACTTTTTCCCCTTAGAGACTGTTAACCCGTCATTGATATTATATAGACCTTTTTTCTCTTCTCCCTCTTCTTACTAGTACCCAGCACAGAGTCAAAGGCAGGACTGGTATTTATTCATTCACTAAACACCTGTGAATGCCTCCTCCATGCTAGCCACTGGATTTGTGCAGAATGTGTGGAATTTGTGTGATGGGCACTACTGTTCTTGTCTGCTAGGATTCACTGTAGGAAAACTGATCAGGAGCAAGCCTGAGCATCCCTTACACATAATGTGATGAGCTGGAGTAACCAAGCAGAAGAAATATTAACAAAAAGTAAAACATACCGGCTGGGCTGTTGCCTAGGGGTTAGGGGAGATGATCCCACATGGCCGGCTGGCAGACCTGCAGCCAGCCTGAGTTGGAATCCCAGCCCAGCTCATCTCCATTTGAGAAACATTCCTTGCAATGTGCATGGGTCTCAAAATCCAAACAGGGTGAAGAAAAGAGGGAAA